AAAAAAAAAAAAAAAAATGATAGAGCCGGGCGTGGTGGTGCACACCTGTAATCCCAGCACTCGGGAGGCTGAGGCAGGAGGATCACTGTGATTGGAGACCAGCCTGAGCTACACAGTGAGTTCCAGGTCAGTCTCAATTACATAGTGAGACCCTATCTCAAGAAACCAAAAAGAAAAAGATAAAATTCCATTCTTTTTATGACTGAATAATATTCCAGTGTGTATACATACTACATTTTCTTTATCCATTCATCTGTTGAAGGGCACATAGGCTGCTTCCATATCCTAGTTATTGTTTATTGCACCACAATAAACATGGGTATATAGGTAACCCTATGATATGATGACTTTTTTTTTTTAATTCCTTCAGGTATATACCAAAGAGTTATGGCTGAGTCAAATAGTAGTTCTAGTTTTAGTCTTTTGAGAAACCTCCATATTGATTTGTATCATGGCTATTCTAATTTAGATTCTCACCAGCATCACAGAAGGGTTTCTTTTTCCCCCTGCATCATTGCCAACATGATGATAGCCATTCTGACTGGAGAAGGAATCTCAATATAGCTTTGATTTGCAGTTCTCTAATGGCTAAAGATGTTGAACATCTTTTTGTAAACTTCTTGGCCATTTGTACCTCTTTTGAGAATTATCTGTTCAGTTCTTTTTTTCATCTAAAGGTTGGACCATTTGACTATCTGGTAATACTTTTTTGAGTTCTTCATAAATTTTAAATACAAATTTTCTATTGGGAGTGCAGCTGGCAAAGATTCTATAGGTTCTGATCCAGCCCAAAGCACCACAGAAAATAATACTTAGATATTTTCTATTCTTATTTTATCTTTCTGTGAAATTTCACCGTTAATTCACTCACCGTGTGTGTGTGTGTGTGTGTGTGTGTGTATTTGGGGGGATACTGGGGATCAAACTCAGGATCTTGTGCTTGTAAAGAATGCAGTGGAACCACTGAGCTAAATATATGTATTTGTTTTGTTTTGTTTTTTGGTACTGGGGATCGAACTGGAGACCCTATACTTGGCAAGGCAGGTGGTGGAACCACTGACCTAAATCCCTGGCCCCCATTTGTATATATTTTAAATTAAATACATAAATTTTGCTTTCATACTCTATTTAACATAACTGTATTACTTCAATAAGTAAAAAATCAATAACTACTATTTACTAATTATGATTTATTTGAAAAGGGGGAGATCTATCAAAATGCTACATGAAGAATTTAGAAATTTTTTATAACTCTGCCTTTGGAAGTACAAGCAGAGATACAATATTCTCAAAAATTACCATCTCTTCACTGTCAATAAACAATCCTAATTGTTTTCTTTAAAATGGAAGAAAGATTTTTGCTTTTTAGCAACGGCAAGCTAGAGTATTTTGACTAATTTTATACCACATGAAAAAGCTGGACAAAATGTAGAATAAAGCACCTGCTTAAGATAGCAAGAAATTAGAAAAGTAGTAAGGACTTGAACAGCCAAGAACTCAGAGGAAAGAAAATTCCAGACAGGTATTTTTTCCAGAGGCATTACTCCAAAAATATTAGGTAAAATAAATAAACAGATGAGAGAATCTAAGAAGCTCTAGAAATATAGAATAAACAAAAAACAGATTAGCTTCCCCAAACTAAAGTCCGGAGTCTAAACAGTTCAATTCTCGACTTAGTTATGTTCTGCCTAAATCCTGTGTAGGAACAAAAGTAAATCCTTTCTAAAAGAAAACAACCTGATCAGAGCCTCAGATTATTCCCATTTTTCATAAATATCTAATAATTCAACCAAAATACTAAAGTATAAAAAAACTACAAATGACACAAAATCAAAAAGACATTAAAAAAAAACTAAAGAAGATTAATCGGATATCCATATTAGCTATCTAACATACACTGTAAAATGCGATAAAAATGTTCAAGAATTTAGAGCCAGGCTTGGTCTACAATCCCAGCTCCTAGGATGATAAGGCAGAAGAATCAAGTCCAATATAGGCAACTTAGTGAGACCCAGTCTCAAAACAAAAAATAAAAAAGGTCTGGAGATATTGCTCGGTGTAAAGTCCCTGGGTACGATACCCAGAACCCCAACACCCCCAAATCAAGAGCTTAAATGACAAGATGAAGAATTTCAGCAGAAAACTGGACGTCATTTTTTTAAAAATTAAATGGAAATTTCAGAAGTAAAAGTAAAATTAAGTATTCAGTGGCTAAGTTTCAGAAAAAGCAAATGAGGACATTAATAAACTCAAAGATAGGCAGAAGAAAATATTCAAAATGAAAAATGAAGAAACAAGATAGAAAATATAAAGAACTTAAGACATGGTTTAAGAAAAAAAGGTCTAGGGCCAGGGATTTAGCTTTATGGTATTGCCACCTGCCTCACAAGCGCAAGGACCTGAGTATGATCCCCAGTACCAAAAGAAAAAGAGGTCTACTGTGTTAAATGGAGTTCAAGGAATATAAAGCATTTAAAACAATACTTGAAAAAGAGTCAAAAATTGTCTAATTAAAAAAAAATTCAAACAAAGATTTTTAAATCCCTACAAACACCAAACTGAAGGAGTACAAAGAAAACCATAAGTAGAACCATCATGGTAAAGCTGTTGAAAATCAAAAACAAAAAGAAACCCTCAAAGAAGAAATGCAATTTCTTCTGATGATTTCTCAATAGAAATGCACATGGAATGTTATCTTCAAAGTGCTAAGAAAAAAATAACTGCCAAGCACTCAGACTTTTATACTCAGATAGTCTCCAAATGATGTCAATAAAAAGATCCTCTCACACAAATACTAAGTGAAGGTGTCAAAACAGACTCACAATGAATGAAAACCAAGGGAACTCTTCAGTTAGATGCAAAATTGTCCCCAGTTGGAATCAAAATTTTCATAAAACAATGAAGAATACTAAAAAAAAAGCACTTGGTTATCTAATGTAAAAAATAATAATCTCTGATGAGCTTCATTACAAATTAAAATATACAATACCAAAAAAGGGAAGAAGAGGTAAATAAAACCAAAGCTTTTAAGACTTTTGTATTGCCTCAAAAGTGGTAAAAGTACTAATATATATTAGCCTTTAATAAGTCAAAAGGCATAGAATGAATTGTTGGGCAATTATTTTAAAAATGAATAAAGAAATATGTAATAACACTAAAATGATAGAATAAAAATAACCTTTTTGAAAGAAGTCAAAAAAGGAAGGTAAAAAGAAACCACAAGAGGAACAGGAAAAAACAAAAAAAAAGAGAAAATTTAGGCCAAGAATGGTGGTACATGTCCAGAATGCCAGTGCTCTTCAAGCCTGAGAGAGGAGGACTGAAAGGATGAGCCAAACCTGGGCAATTTAGCAAACTAGTGTGACCCAGTCCCAAAATAAAAAATAATGAAAAGACAGGGATGTTCACTATGTAGGCCCTAGGTTCAATTCTCCCCCTCCAAAAAGAAAGTCTAGATCTGATTTTATCAGCTTACTAAAAATATATGAACTAAATAACAGTACAAAAGCTTCTTATTATGTAACAACCCAGCAATATGACACAAGATATACACTTTTTTTTTAAACTCTGAAAGTTGGGTTGCGGATTTAGCTCAGTGGTGCTGCTGCCTGCCCCGCAAGTGCAAGGTCCTGAGTTTGATCCTGGTGCCAAAAAGAAAAAAAAAAAAACTCTGAAGGTTGAAAGGATAAGAAATAGTCCATGCAAATGCAGGCTGAAAGAAAGTTTACACAACCATATTAGTATTAAATATTTCACAATGATAAGAACACTATGAAGACAAAACAATCATATCTGAATATATATGGGGGGAGAACAGGACAGTGAGAGACAGTATGCCTGCCTGCCCATTATGTCAGCATTATATGTATATTTGTATGTAGCAAGTAAAATATAAAAAGCAAAACCTGACAGAATTTAATGGCATTTAACAATATAAAATGGATGTCATTTTTTAAGGACCTTTAAATTTATACCATTTTGTAAATTAATAACTCTTTGTTTTAAACTCTTTCATAGAATCAAATATTATATAATTCAAAATACATTAGGCATATGGCTGTAATTAATGTTCACTTTAAAAAACATACTTAAAGCCCAGTGTGGTGGTGCATACCTATAATTCCAGCATTCCAGAGGCTGAGGCAGGAAGACTGCCAAATTCAAGGTCAGCCTGGGTTATAGTGAGAACTTTCCACAAAAAAACTGAATTCTCATACAAAAATTATATTATATGAGGGTAATCATATCTATATTTTAAGCTAAGCTACTCATTCAGTTTTCCTTATGTTATTATTTTGATAGCTGTGATTTAGTATTTTTAATATCCATATCCAAAAAATAGTAGTAAGTTAAACTAAAATAATTCTTTTTTTGTTTTTGATTTTTTGAGACAGGGTCTCACTATGTAGTTGAGACTGACCTGGAACTCACTATGTAGCCCAGGCTGGTCTCGAACTCCCAGCGATCCTCCTGCCTCAGCCTCCCGAGTGCTGGGATTACAGGTGTGCACCACCATGTCCAGCTTAAAAGAATTATTCTTGAAATTATTTCTATGTTTCAAAGCAATTAACACTTCCAGTGGTCTTATGATCTTGAAGATTAAAAATGTATAAATACAATTTTTAAAAATGTTTTCCAAATAAGGAACTTTAAAATAATTGTTAAATGATTTATATAAAGTAATCAAGAAAGCATTTTCACCCTTGCCTGCAAACCACTGCCTACTAACAAATGACTTGAGTAGTCACTATTCAACCTTAATATAGTATGTACCTTAATTACTAAGTTCATTAACAATTTCCTCTATGCTTGCCCTCAAATTTCCCTTTGCCCTACCACAGGGTATGTACAAAGATGAGCACTATTTCTCAACATTTTCTCTTATCTCCCCATGAAAAGGAGTAAATCCTACTATTTTTGGTAGGTTTTATTACAGAAGATCAATAAAGGTTAGCTAGAGAGAAAATGAGACTTCTCAGTTCAACTTTGGAGAAAATATGAAAACACCACCCTTGGGGGCTGGGAATTTAGCTCAGTGGTGCCTGTGTTTGCCTTGCAAGCACAAGGTCCTGAGTTCAATCCCCAGAACCAAAACAAAAAACAGAAAAAGAGAAAGAAAATACCACCCATGGAAAGGAGAGTCATATTCAAATGTAAACTCCCTTTAATTGTGTGACAATTTGTAAATTAGTAAAATTCTCACCAGACATTTATTTAGAATCTCACAATAGTTGGTAATGAAAGGAATAATAAATTCTCAATCCAATATTTAAGAGTTCTTAGCAGTGTGGTGGCATACAAATGTAATCATAGAACTCAGAAGACTGACACAAAGCGGATTATGAGTTCGAGCCAGCCTGGATTCAAGCCAGTCATGGACTACACGGAGAGACTCTATCTCAAAAGAGTTCTTTGGTTTACCTAGCAAAACAAAACTAGGATGACTTTCATAACTCTTTAATTTTTCACTTAGAGAAGACAGACTCCAAGTTTTCAAGAATTTTTAGAAAGAGCCAGAATGAAATAACCTTACAAAACTAATTAAGGAATAAACATGGCCAGCATCCCATTTTTCTAAATTTCGATAAGCTAATAGATAGAAGATAAAGAATATTATAGTATTTTTAAACATTACCAGTTTTAACCGTTCTTTTCTCCTTTTGCCAAAGGAAGCACTTGACCCAGGTTCTGATTCCTTTTTTACATCCTCATCCTCATCCTCATCTTCATCATCCTCAAAACACCAATCTGGCAATACAGGTGGTGGTGGTGCTTCCTCTATATCACCATAACGACGAAAAAGTTCCTTCAAATAATCACCCTTATAGATTCCTGGTGGTCTGGCTTGGGCAAAAGTAGCAACTGCTGCTTCAATACTATGGAAAAAAACACCATGCAATTTCCTCACTATTCTCCATTTAGACATACTTACAAAAACTCACTTATATTCAAGTCATCATGTAATGTATAATACAGGTTTATAAAATAGAAAAACCAGTCTTCGCCTTAAAGGCATCCAATTGGTAAGGGACAAATTTATTTTGAAATAGTTTAATATAAGATATACTAATACTGTAATTCCTCAACTTTAAAAGTACTACTTTGAGTACACATTCAAGATCCAGGTGGGATCAATGAAGAAGAATTTAAAGTCTTGAAGCTTAAAGTCTGACTCTAAGAACAAAAAAGCAGTCAAAGAAATATGAATAGCAATATGAGCAAGATTAAAAGCCTGTTGATTTTTCAGAAATGTTCAATAGGCCCAGGCACTAAGTGTACAGGTCACGAGAGAGGTAAGCACAGGCTGAGTTTGCACTAGAGCCTGAACATCTGAATAAGTAGAGCTAGGAAGTCCAGGCACTAGAAAACCACTGAGAGCGTGTAAAATGCAAAGTATAAAATCAGATGTGTACTTTGGCTGATTATATTCAGAAAAAGAACTATTGTGTGACAGGTGTTGTAACATAAACAATGACTGTCAGTCAGTGAGAAAATTCAGCTAGTAATATCCCATTCTGCACTGCCTGCCTTGACAACGTAAGGTTGAGTTCAATCCCTGGTACCAAAATAAAAAAAAAAAATCCCATTCTCTCAGGAATTTCAGATAACTAAGGTTCTAACAGTGTTCAATAAAAACATGTTGATTGGCTTAAAGGGAATGATGTGTCCCTAAAATACTCCCTTCATATAGCATTCCAAATTGTTACTAGTATTCAACAAATATAGAAAAGGCACTAATTAAGCAGAGCATGGTGGCACATGACTGTGATCCCAGTTTGTGGGAAGCTCAAGCAAAAGGATTGCAATATACATAGTGAGTTTAAGGCCAGCCTGAACTACAGATTGAGGAAAAAAAAACAGAGAGGAGAGAGAGAGAGAGAGAGAGGGAGGACACTAGTTAAAAAGAAAAGAACAACACTAATTTCCAAAGCTGAATGAATACAAGCACAAAATATTGAAGAACCTATCTCTGATAAAGCTGTATAAGAGAAAAAAATGGAAAAGAAAACAGATTACGGGATTCATAAGCACTCAACTAAAGTGTTACTTACTATAAAATAACCAGGTAACACTACCCTAAAGACCAACCATATCCAAAATGAAAACCATTGTAAATTATACTGAGTTCAAAAAAACTTGGCAATATATGGAGGGTAAGGGAAAGCAGAAGCAAAAATGATCAACATCATTGTGTAACAATTCCCCAAAATTCCCCAAAATGAAATGAATGTAATTATTATGTATCACAAACATACTGATAATAAAAAATTGTTTTAAAACTTGACAATATAAAATGATACAACTAAAATAACAACAAAAAATGTAGTCAACTACTAAATACATCTTCTTTTATTAATTACCTCCAATCCATTTTCTCCACCAAAAAGGCACATATGAGGAAACCAGTGCGATTGAAACCATGGGTACAATGAACACCTAGAAAATAAAGTTTTGGTATAAATTTAATAAATCCCTTCAGAGGCCATATTCTGCTTTTAAAACTTTCAACTTGCCATCAAAATGTTTCAATAATTTTGTAAAATTACACTGCACATTTCTATATGAAAAATTTTGAAATGCCCTGTAACTTAGTAACTTGTTAGTTCAAATTATTTAGAATCTAGTTTATAGCATTAGCTGAAATTTTAAATGTAATATAAAGGTCTACTCTTTTAAAACTCTTTTGTCTAATGTTTCTTAAAAAATTCCAAATATTTTAAATATGGAAATCTTTCCATCAAAAAAAGACACACAAACATATACTAGTTACTCTAAGCCAGGCGTGGTGGCGCACGACAGAGGCTGAGGCAAGAGGATTGCTGTGAGTTCACCCTGGGCTACATAATGAGTTCCACGTCAGTCTCAACTACACAGTGAGACCCTGTCTCAAAAACCAAAAAAAAAAAAAAAAAAAAAAAAAGAAAGAAATATGTATACACACACACACACACACACACACACACAAGTTACTCTAATTCACAAACTTGGGACAAACTTTTCTACTCTTCCCCTTATTTGAGATAGATCATATTGTTTTTGTTTTTTGTTTTTTGTATGACTGTCTGAAAAGGGCATTTTTTTTTTCTCATTGAGTTTATTGGTACTGTCTACTGTCTGAAAAGGGCATTTTTTTTTTCTCATTGAGTTTATTGGTACATTTTAGGTATACAGTACACTTACATTCATCATTAGGATCCTGTATCTTTAGATCATATTGCTTTTAAAAAGAAATCTAGAAACTAGAGTAGAAGAAGGGAACTATTGAAAACACAATTTCACCTGGGAGTTGATATCAGTTGAATGAATTCATGCAAAGTACCTGCAAACTGATTACAGCAGAATAAAAATAAAATTATTTTGAAGTTCTTTGGAAACCAACTGACTACAGTGCATCTTCACATTATCTTATAATCTTTCAAAATACACTTTTATAAGAGCCTGTTATGGTTTATACCTGGATATGCCCTCAAGCCTCATTGCGATCATAGGCAGGACCTTTAGGAGGTGACTGTATTGCAAGGCTTCTGGATGACTTGTTAAGAGGAGGGATGGGAGTGGAAGAGATGGCTCACTAGAGATGTGACCTGGCAAGATTTAATCCCCCTTCCCAGCTCCTCCTTTGAATTCTCTCTGCTTTCCCACCACCATGCCATGAGGTGCTTTCCTGTGCCATGTAATCCTTCTTTAGAGCCAGCCAACTATGGACTGAATCTTCTATAAAGTGTGACCCAAAATGAACTCCTCCTTTAAGTTGCAAGTATCAGGTATTATGTCTCAGCCACAAGAAAAGTGACTGAGACAGAAACATATTAAGAAAAAAATTATTTTTCTTAAACACTCAAGGTCTTTTCAAGATCATTTTAACTACTTCAAAAATAGTAAACAATTTGTAAAAAGAACTGTAACCACTAACATGACATAGCTTCCAGTTCATTGACTCCTACAGAGCTCAAAATAAAGCTTTTGCTGCTAAAAGATACCCCGATTAAAACTTCTTTCTAATGCTACCTATTACAAAATATTCTTCTCTGTATATATAGATCACTTTGATAAAGTGCAACTAATGTCAAATATAAACTGAGTATGGTGGTGCACACCTGTAATCCCACCACTTGGGAAGCTGAGGCAGGAAGACTGGCAAGTTTAAGGCCAGCCTTGGCTATAGAGTGAGTTCCAGGTCTCCCTGGACTATACAGCAAGACCCTGTTTCAAAAAAAAAAAAAAAATCAAATATAAAAATAAACTAGCTAGAATTACAAAACTTTTAGAAGAAAATACATACACAAAAAAACTTTACAACCTTAGGAAATATTTCTACAATAAAACAGAAAAGTCATTAAAGAAAACACTGATAAAAATTAAGACTACTTCAAAATTATACATGTATACTCTCTAAAACATGCCATTAATAAAATAAAAACAGGGCCATGGATTTAGTTCAGTGGTGCTGCCACCTGCCTCACAAGCACAAAGTCATGAGTTCAATCCCTGGTACCAAATAAATAAATAAATACATACATATACATACATACATACATACATACATACATACAAACATCTACCTTGTGCGGGGATACATGCCTGTAATCTCCAGTACCCTGAGAGTCTGAGACAAAAGGATTCCAAGTTTAAACTCAGTCTGAACTCAGTGAAACTCTGCCTCAAAATTTAAAAATAAAAATAAGGGCCAGGGATTTAGCTCAATGTCACCATGACTGCTCTGCAAGCACAAGGTCCTGAGTTCTATCCCCAGTACCAAAAATAATGTTTTTTAAATAAAAAGTTAAAAAATAAAAATAAAAAAGCTAAGCAGGGTGTAGTGGCACACGCCTGTAATCCCAGCACTCGGGAGGCTAAGGCAGGAGGATCACTGTGAGTTAGAGACCAGCCTGGGCTACATAGTGAGTTCCAGATCAGTCTCAACTACATAGTGAGACTCTGTCTCAAACAAACAAAAAAAAAAAATTAAAAAAAAAAAGGCTAGGGATGTGGCTCAATGTGAAGGCTCTGGCCTCAACCCCAACACTGCAAACAAAATCAGCAAACAAATAAATAAAAATAACCCCAGAAAATAGTCTGAATACACATACCTGGCAAAGGATGTGCATCTACAATATATAAAGAACTCTTACAATTTGTAAAATAAACTAATTTTTTAAAACCTGAGTAAAAGAAATGAACAGATATGTACTTTACAAAACAAGATACATTCAAGGAGTAGTGACTCACAGCTACTCAGGAGACTGAGGCAGGCATATCACAAGTTTAAGACCAGCTTGGACAACTTAGTCAGACCCTATCTCAACATAGAACTTTTTTTATAAAGGGCTGGGGATATGGTTCAGTGGTAGAGTGTGTGCCTAACATGGAAAGTGAAAGGGTTTAAAACACCAAGAAGCACAAGAAAAGATGTCTAATGTTACTAATTATCAAGAAAATACAAATTAAAACCAGTAAATCCTATATAGCTTCATTGAAATGGTTCAAATGAAAAGACTGACCATATAAAGTGTTTGTGAAGACACAGAGGAATAGAATCTCCTGCTGCTGGTAGAAATGAAAAATGGCATAATCACTTTAGAAAAAATAAGTTAGCAATTTCTAAAAAGATAAACATACTCCTGTATCAATGACCCAGACATGCTAATTATATTTAGCAAAGAAAATAAAAGTGTCCAAGAGATTTTTACATAAAGACAAATGTCCACAGAACACAATGACAATAGTCTATAACAACTTTTGTGATGATTGCTAAAAAGTGCACACATCCCTAAAGTGTCCACTAGGAGAATAGATAAGCAACATGTATATTCATTCATACAATGAACAATCTTCAACAACAAAACAGAACTTATTATTAATAAATGTATCCAGGATGATTTCAAAACCATTATGCTGTGTGGAGGCAGCCAGATAACAAGTACCTACATGATTTCCTTTACATAAAATTCTGGAAAATGCAAATAAACCTATAGTGACAGAAAGTAGAACATGACTGCCTAATCCACAACCAAGAGATAAAAAAAAGATAAACACACAAAAAAAGCATGAAGTGCAAACACTGATTCATGACTGATTTCACCAATATCTACATCTGTCAAAATTCATCAAACTAGGGCCAGGGATTCAGCTCAGCGGTGCCACTGCGCACAAGGTCCCAAGTTCAAACCCTGGTACCATTCCCTCAAAAAAACACTCATCTAACTATGTCTTATTTTTCTCTTTACTGAGACAAAATATCCAACACCCACAAGTTAAAGGAGGTAAGGTTTATTTCAGCTCAGCTTGTAGAGATTTTAGTCCACAGTCAGTTGGCAGAAAAGCACTGCAGAGGAGAAAGAATTTATAGTATGGCAGTCAGGAAGCATCAACCAGAGAACAGCAAGCAGAAAGCAGCAATGCTCCTTTCTTTCTGAGAGAAGGACAGTCACAAGAGACTGCCAGAAGCTAGAGAGCAGATTGGCCAGGGGGTGGGGGAGGGCCCACTGAGAGGCAGGGGCTGGTGATCACAGATTGTTCCTGCGGTCAGACGCTAGTTTCAGCCTGAATTACATACGATTGGAAACTCACATTGGTACCGTGTCCTCGCTGCTAAAGAGAAACCTAGAACAAGGTCTTATGGTGTTATTTCTCAACTAACCCTGATAGATACCAATGTATCTATTAACCTGTTACTGCTGCAGTGGCATGGACTGCATAGGAATAATCATGACTCAGTAGACATTTAGTGCCAGTGAATTTGTCTGCCAAATCCACCACTGCACTCAGGGAGAGGGACAGCAACAGCTCCTAACCCAAGAGTTCAGACTGAATCAAACTCTGCAAGAATTCCTGCAATCTGGCAAAGGAGGTCTTGAGTCTGAGTTAACACCAGTATTGCAGTGGAGAAATCAGAAGAGTTATGGGGGTGAGAGCATTCACTATCAGGCCAAGAAGCTACTTGGGAATCACATATGCAATGTCCAATTGGAATATCTAATCCGTGTTCCCATCAGACATCTTACTGGTTTAAATTTTTGTATGTTTCCTGAGTTATGTGGTAACATGGGGTTATGTTCTTTCATGGTTTCGCATTTATTAGGTTGTTACTCTTGTACATTTGTTCTTTCATTGGCTCTAATTTAATAGACGTCTTAGAATCTCTCCCTCATATCAGGTCTTTAACTAATTTCTTCACCTCACATCCCCAAGACAACATTATTAACGTAATCTTTATTCTTTTTCCAACACATTTTTAATTCATGATACTTACCCCCTCACAGCCACTACTATACTCACTAGCATTAATCCTCAATCCTCCCCATCTAAAGCCTTTGGCTCTTCCACATCTTACTGTCCTGCCTATAAGCAAGTTCTTTTTTTTTGAGGGGGGCGGGTTGAGTCAGGGTCTCACTATGGAGTTCAGACTGACCTGGAACTCACTATGCAGCCCAGGC